GTTTTTTGGAAAACAAATGTGTAATGAATATATATATATATATATATTTTAATCTCTGATTCATTTGTGAATTAATCCAAGAGAAAAAAAAAATATATATATATATATGCTACATATTGTAAATACCCATATGAATGTATTTGAAATTTTCATGTGAATTGAAATTGACAGTTACAAATTGAATCAATAATTACAAAATGAAGTACATTTAAATTGTTATTTACAGAAATATAATCTAAGAATAAATTTATGAGACCAAAAATAATAAAAAATAAAAACTAAACATATTGAAACTTCACATAAAAGGTTTTTTTGTTTTTTTTTTTTTAAGTTGTAGAACATGGTATTCATAATACGAATTTAATACGAAATGGACTTGATGTCCAGCAACCTAACTTCCTTTATTGCTCTAAAAAATAAAATAAAGCCCAAAGTAATTGTTGCTCTAAACTGATAGCAACTGATATGGGTTTTTATATTTATTTCTATATGTTTTTCTATATTATGTTGGTAATGAACTGTACACCATTTCTTACTCGTTCTTCGCAATTCCCAACCACTCTCCTCCCTTACCTAACTACTATACATATCTTAACATTATCTCTCTGAATTGCTCAACATTCTCTCTCTCTCTCTCGTACCCTTCTATGGGATGTTTTTGGAAAAATGGTAAAAATTAATTTTTTTTACGTTTAATTAAGTTTTTGACTTTTTTAAACAAATGATTTGAGAAGTTGATAAAAAATTACTTTTGACTTTTTTGATTAATATTTATTTATGATATCAAATCACAATGAAATGACCAAACTATCCACATTTAATTTAAAATATTTACAACTTCACCTATGTAACATATTTTGACCCATGAGAGGTAAAATTGTAATTTCACCAATTATTAAAAACCAACTTTTCAAATGTCTTTAAATACAAAAAAGCTAACTTTTAGCTTTTATAAACTCAAAAAAGTGGCTAAAAACCATATACCCAAAACAGGCCTATGTCTCTAAAACCAAAACAAAAAACAAACACCACCACCACATAGACAAAAGTTTGTTCTGTTTCTCATTCTTCTCATTTCAGGTAATTTAATCTTCTCTCTCTCTCTATATATAAATATATCTTCTGTTTTTTTTAGATTCATTCTACGTGTCTACTTCAAGTTCTTCTTTTTCTTCTTCTATTTTGGATTTTAGGAACGCTTCCAAGCATATAGCTCAAGAATTAGTATAGTTAATTAGGAACCCTTCAAAGCATATAGCTCAAGAATTAAATATTTTAGCTTAATGGATTTGTTGATGTGCAATCTCAATATTTTAGAATTAAATATTATAGCTCAAGATTATTAGAGGGATCATTAAATATGCCATATCAGAAGCAAATGATTACAGCAAGAGAGGAGAGATCAACTATACATACCAGTTTTTGTATGACAGATAACAACTATCACAATCAAAATCCTCACCTGTAAGTGAACTGAATTTTATATTTCATAAAGCTCCTTTCCAAAATGCACTTGCAAGTAATGAAAAAATAAATAAATAAAATTAAAAATTAAAAATAAAATAAAATAAAAAATGAAATAAAAGGACATGGATGATTACAGCAAGAGAGGAGCGATCAACCATACATACTAGTTTTTGTATGACAAAGAACAACTTTCACAATCAAAGTCCTCACCTGTAAGTGAACTGAATTTTATATTTCATGAAGCTCCTTTCTAAAATGCACTTGCAAGTAATGAAAAAATAAATAAACAAATAAAATTAAAAAGTAAATGAAATAAAATGAAATAAAAGGGCATTGTTAAGTGATGGTCCCAAATTCTACTTAATCGAGTGTGCTACTGGATATAGATCTAATGTCAAGACTCATGCCTCAACACAAAAAAGAAAAACAAATACATATCAGTTTAAGGTTTAAAAACACCAATCCAAATAAATTGAAAGCTACATAAATAAAAAATGAAAAAGAAACATAACAAAGAGAAGATTGTGAAGATCATCAAACCTGCAAGAGCTTCGAAGCAAAATTCAAAAACTCATAACTAAACCCATTGCTAACTGAAAGAAGTCAGTAATTCCCTCAATTACTCAATTACTCTCCGGAATGTTTAACCAAATATAAAAACCCATCTCACAATTTGAACACACACATACTCTATACTAACTATTAATAAAAAAATTTAGCTTATACAAAATATGTTATTAATTAATCAATAAAAACAAATAATCAAAAAGAGAAACAACCTCGAGAGAAGCTCAAAATGGTGATTTCCAAGAAGTTAGGTAAAAATGGTGTTATTAATAAATCACTACTAAACAATTCTCAAAATGGTGTTATTAATAAATCACTACTAAACAATTCTCAAAATGGTGATTTCCAAGAATGGTGATTTCCATTGATTTTCAAGAAGTTACGTGTAGTAAAATAAAGAAACTGTAATTCTATCATGTTTTTAAAATGGGAGCCCATCATAAGTCAAGTTTTTGATATTTGAACTATTTATTTTATTAGGTTTATTTATAGATTATTCACGCAAAAAAAAAAATCAAATTAATTTGATAATCATAACTATGATCTGATTTTTCTTTTTTTTTTTTTTTTTTTTTGAATGATCAATACATAAATCGGCAAAATGGATGCAGTTCACCTAAAATATTGTAAATACTTCTCACACTGAAAATGCTTAACACTATCATGTTTAAAATCTATGAAAATGAGAAAAGGGAAGTGGCAGAGGCAAACTTCAAATCTATATAATATAGTATAAAGGAAAAGTTAAGAAAATGACCCGACAGAAACGTTAAAGTCCCTGAACTTCTTTCTTGAAGTAAAACTTGTTAGTATATATGCCATTCCTCTCCCATAATAAAATAAAGAAACTGAAATTCTATCATGTTTTTAAAATGGGAGACGCTGGTGTGTTGTTGGATATCATGGAGCCCATCATAAGTCATGTATTTGATATTTGAACTATTTATTTTATTAGGTTTATTTATAGATTATTCACACAAAAAAATCAAATTAATTTGATAATCATAACTATGATCTGATTTTTCTTTTTTCTTTTTTTTGAATGATCAATACATAAATTGGCAAAATGGATGCAGTTCACGTAAAATATTGTAAATACTTCTCACACTGAAAATGCTTAACACTATCATGTTTAAAATCTATGAAAATGAGAAAAGGGAAGTGGCAGAGGCAAACTTCAATTATTAGAATATAGTATAAAGGAAAAGTTAAGAAAACAACCTGACAGAAACGTTAAAGTCCCTGAACTTCTTTCTTTATGTAAAACTTATTAGTATATATGCCATTCCTCTCCCATCCCACCACCACCCCCCTCTGTAGTTTGTGTTGGTCGATGAAAGGTTAACGAAAAACTAAACCACCATCAACAATGAACAAAACATGTAGTAAACACTGCAAACTCAGTGGCAAATAAACTAACAATAATTTTTTTTTGGTTTAATTTCTAGCTTTCTATATAGAGGAGGGAGCACATTACATTTCTTTCTGTTTGCGATTCACATCGATTAGATTAGAAAAAGCAAAACAAAGCAACTACTGCAGACCCAACTGGATCGCAAAAACAAAACAGAACAAAAATACAAAAACATTAGTCAATAGTACTGTGTCCAAAATGACAGAGCAAGAAACCCACTCCTCTTCCTCTTCTCCTAATCTATGATTATGTACATATACAATTCTCAAACTTTTCAAGATCAATTGTTTAGAAAATTAAAGTCTTTCAGAAATCCGAATGAGCTAATTGTACTATCAAATCGATTAGAATAGTTCGAATGAGTAATCCAATATATGAATACAACATAAAATTTGAACAAAAATAAAAAATAAAAATAATAGAAATTAGAATCAAACCCAAATTAGAATGTATGTATTAATGAAATGAAGAAAAACATAGAGAGAAGGGAAAAAAAATATCAAACCCAAATGCACCAATCAAACCCAAGAATGTTATTAACAACCCTAAAAATGTATGTATTCATGAAATGAAGGAGAAGAACAGAGAGAGAAGGGGAAAAAATATCAAACCCAAATCACACCAATCAAACCCAAATCATACCGATTTGACGATTCACATGCGGCAGATCCATTAGTTTGGGCATAGGAGGGGGACGGTGTAATGAAGAACGGCGAAGGCGAAGGAGGAGCAAGAAAGGAGGCAGCAATCTTCTTTGAGGATGAAGCGGTCGTAGTCGACATCTCAAGCGTCGTGAGAAGCATGGGTGATGAAGGATTTGACGAAACCAATGCCGAAAAAACCGAGGAGGTAGATGCAGGAGGCGATGAGGGAGGCGATGGCAGCGAGTTCGGAGAGAGTGACGACGTGGAGAGGGGTGGAGGATTGGATCTGATCGCACTAACGATGGAGGAGGTAGTAAGCCATAGAGAAGAAAAATTTGAAGAAAATGCCGTTGGTCAGAAAATGCCGTTGAGAGGTAAGGCATTAGAGGGATTTGGAATGAGGAGGAGGATGAGAGAGAATGCGGAGAGCAGATGTGTTTGGGCGAGAGATCTATTGATCTCAACCGTTAATATATTCTTGGAATTGATCTGAATCATTGGATCAAAATGTATCTCACATACATTTTGATACATTTTTCAAAAACCTTTGTGCCTTATTATATAGATTTTTGTGATATATATTAAATATTTTTTAGTATAAATAATTTGTAATTCAAAAATGAAATTACATATTTTTCTATTAATGTCATATATATTTCTAGTAATATTACACATTTTGTGATTAAAAAATATTTAAATAAAATAAAGTGCAACATTATCATAAAAAAAATGTGTGTATATATATATTGTAATTTCTATCAAATCTTGGGAACATATCTGTTCATGTTGTTATCTTCCTCATAGAATGGTCTGTTCCAAGCATAAATCGGGGTCTCTCACTCCACTGCAGCCAAGACAACAATACAAGTTGAAAATCTCTTTTCGTTAATGGTGGTTGGACTCCGGTGATGAGTCAGTGGAGAGGCGGTGGTGCTCAGAGTAAGGAACGAAGCCAGGGTTTTTTCACTGTATTTGTTGATAACATTCCTACAGTAATGGATGCTAAAGCTTTGTACAAACTCTTTACCAAGTTCGGGATCGTGAAGGGTGCTTACATCCCATTCAAAAGAAGGAAAGTGACGAACACAAGGTTTGGGTTTGTCCGTTATGACTGTCGAATCTCAGCATCTGTTGCCATCCAAAAAGCGAATGGCCTTTTTGTGGATGACATGATGCTTGTGGTTAAAATGGCTACCTATGACAGGAATACCAGACCCGAACAGAGCAATCGTAAGCCTCAGGTTACTAAAAGGAGCATGGATACAACTAATATTAGAGGCAGTGGTGCATATGTAGGCCACAGAACTTTTGCTAAAGTACTAAAAGGAGATGCCTCTTGTAGCACGCGTCCGCGAGGGGCCCCGCTACAGTTCAGACTCGATTCGTGTCACGGTTCTTAATCTTGAACCAAAGAGTCCAAATCTGGCAAATTGTTTTAAGAAAACAGATTTTAGGAAAGAAATGCCAAACATGGACTGCTTTGCCAGATACAGAGTCGCCACCTAAATATTTTAAAATGGGGGAATTTAGGAAACCCTGACTCGGTGCCAAAGGCCACATGTCCGTCATCACCGGAGTTGTCTCGGCTCGGGAGCTAGGGTACGATCGGGGAAGGTTAGCTATGAGCACCCCCTTTCGCCCGGTCCGAAGACCGGCCTCTACTAACCATGATATCTGATTTTGAAAATGTTATGTGTTCTTATTCCATTTGTTAGCCTAGAATTACTATGTTATGCGCACAGCAAACAAGTATAGACTAGATTGCCTAATTTGGAAACAAGCATTGCATATCCGTTTATCTTGAAAAACATTTTGGAATTTGCTACTCGCAAGTAGGTTAAAATACGGATTTCAACGAGTTTTTCCAACTCAGGCCATCCAACCTTCACCCACAGGCATCCAAACAATTATATCACGTAAGCATTTAGCCGCATGGCAGGCATACTGTCATGGCAACATTTACACGCATGCAATATGCTAAAGCGAAAATACTTATATCGTACTCCGTGCCAAAACAACAAACCGGTTAGCAAACATGCATGTCCTAGTTCATGTCAAGTTGACTAATGCAACACATGCAAGATGTAATTAGGATAGGCTCGGCTAACCTAAACATGGCATGTGAAATGCAACCAATTGATGCACGTATTCAATTTAGAATTTGGAATACAAATGCAGTTAGCATGATGTACCGAGCCCAGCGTATGCAGGACAGATGTATGAATGCACGCATGCATTGCATAAGGTATGCTAATTTTAAATATGCCCTAGTCTACCATCATAAGCAGGTTAATAAAAGGGAAGAAAGATGTGGGATTGGAAGACATACACCCCACTCACACACACTTATTACAGATTTGCCCTCGCTCGGAAGGTACAAATAAATATTACAGTCCGAATAACAAATAAATTAATTATTACAGAATTTCTACTTAATTAATAGAAAGAATGCAAAATGAATGAGAGAGATGGCCACAGCCTCCGCCTCGAGATGCGCAAATGATGCATGCTCGAACCCGCCTTGCCCGAAAAGTCCGTACCATACCAAGGCTGTCTCTGTTTACACTGCCCTATCTTTCTGAAACATTCCAAAGTGTTGGGACAGGTTTATTGCATACTGCAGAGGACCACTGGCTGGGGGAAATTCCCACCGGCAGTGCATAATTACGACCGGCTGCTTCTGGATTTATCGACCATTCACCAAGGGCCGGTCGGCACTGAATTCTGCCGGTCGGCAGAAACTTCCTGCAGGAGACAGTTTTGACAGCAACAGAGAACAGATAGCATATGGCATGGGATTTCAGGCACATGTGAGCGTGGTCATGTTTCCCATCATGTGTTGTACTCAGGGGGACATGGCCTTCGATACTCGAGCCATCAATGGTGCATGATAGCCCAAGAGATCGAGCTTGCCATTTGATAAATGCATGCAGCACACAAATGAGGACCAAGGCCTTATCATGTCGGAGTCAAAGGCCCCGGTGACCGAGAGTCGAGGTGCATTACATCACTTATAGTATGAATGCTCCTAGACCCTCACACTTAGTTTGACACCCCAAACCAAGTAATGCTATGCATGTTATGCAAACATGGCTCAAAATGCAACATGATATCAAGATACAAGGCATACCAAGTGTCATGTAACTAGTATGGCAAGCATGCAATGTTAGGCATACAAGATGCGAATGCAATGTAAATATGGGCAATTTAAGCAATAGAATCATCATGCTATAACACCTAATGAAGCAACCATACATCAAACATGAAACAAGCATGCAATGGTGGCTTAAAATGGTAAAGGGGCAGACCTTAATCCACCTCAAAACAGTGGCCAAAAGTGTCCAAAAGGTGGACCAATACTCATGCCAACAAGCAAGCCAATGGTCCTAAGGTTAAGGCACAAAAAGGAGGCACTTCACTCCCACCAACATGACCACTCATGGCAGGACTTGGACAAGCCAAAACAGAATTTTAACATGAAAAAAGGGACTCCAAAACCTCCTAATATGACAGCTTAGGTGGCTCCCATGAAATGCATCCACCAAGACTCATTTCTAGGCATAAAGGGTACACCCTAAGAGCATGGAAGAGGTCACAAATGCAAGCATACAAGCATGATTCATGGACTGAAATGTGACCCTAAATGATGGCAAATCATGAGGATGGTCATAGCTATGCATCCTAGAGGTCAATATGCTCAAAGCTTACAAGCCAAAACACAAGGAGATGATACCAAACAAGGCAAGCATGACTGAAATGGATGGTCAACAGACCTTGAACATAGTAAAATAATGCCAACATCTTCATGGAACCAAACCAACACATGCAAGAATCATGGCCTAAACACAAGATACAATTCTAGGCCAAATGGAGGGATGTAAAGCAAGTATATTAAGCATGTAAATGGGTACAAATCCGGCCAAAAACAGAGATCACATATGACCCAAAACACCCAAAAAACTTCTGAAATGGGGCCAAAAATGATCAAGCATGCATGTTCCCCTTTTAAGCCAAAATGCAAGGAAACAAGACAATGAAGGGAGAGGGGTGTCCCTCCCCTATGCAAGACTTCAAACCACCAAAACACTTAAGCAAATAAGGCCTCACCAAAGAGGCAACAAAAGGGCCAAATAAGGCCTAAGAGGGTGAGTTCGAACTCAAACCATAAAAGACCCTTAATGAAAGTTCTTAAGCATAAAAATACAACCCTTTTTTATGTTATGCACAAAAACTAAATCAGCAAGTAAGATAGGTAAAAAGCTAATGCAAGTTTGGGGAAACTAAAGTAAAATGCTCACCCTTGAAGCACACTTCAAGAACAGCCAAGGCAGCCCCCTTCTTTTGATCAAAAATAGCCCAAAAACTCAAGAATCAACCCTCAAAGTCCTCAATCTCGGAGCAAGGTGTAATAGTGTGTGTATTGGTGCAAAAGTAAGGTAAAATCACACTTTTAGGCCAAGAAACATACACAAAGGAGGAGAGAGAGGGAAATATAGAGATAGGGTGTATCTATATGTGCAAGCTCTGGTTTTGCCTTCAAAGTCTCTAACCTAAAACAAGGAGAAGACCCCTCCTCTTATAGAACTCCCTCTTGCAAAGCTTATACAACAAGCTTGCTTAGAGGGAAATCCCTCCATACACGTGTATGGAGGGAAGCAGAGTTGGTGCTAGCTATCACAGCTGGCACAAAATATCTACATAAAGTAGATGAACAGTGGTCGGCTATCCAAAAATGTCATTTTGACAAAATTTAGTGCCGACCGGCAACAAGTAGTGCCGACCGGCAACAAAAAGTGCCGACGGCATCAAAAACCAGCCGGTGACCTCTAGCCACTGCTGGTGGTGTGTGGGGATGCCTCAAAAGGCATTCCCTACCCCTCCAAGGCAAAACACAAGTGTTTGGTGCAAAACCAGACACAAAACGGTCAAGTTCGGAGATCCTGAGGCAGGGCGCGTAGCCGAGACCCCCGGGAACTCCAAACGAACACAAACATAGATAATCACCGAGTGTTCAAGCGGTGACGTCCAAGTCTTGAGGATGGTCAAAAATGGGGTGTCTACACCTCTGTTTTGGATGGGAACTCAAATATAACTCTAAAAGTTCATGAAGAGGGCAACGGTTGGCTCTATGATAGTGTTATAGTCAGATTTAATGCAGAGTTTACCACACACAGCATTTTGAAAGCTCTGGTAGAGAAAGGATTGGAGCAGGTTGAAGTCAGGAAAGAGGGAGGTCGTGATATATTACTATCCTTTAAATCTTCTAATGAGCTCCAGTCAAACATTGGAAAGATTACAGAGTGGCCAAAGGGCTGGAGCCAATTCGTGATGGTTTGGAAGCCAAATCTCCATCTGCAGTAGGAGAGGTGCGTTTGGTTGAGATGCTATGGTATACCCCTGCATCTATGGAATAGGAATACACTCAACAGCATTGGTAAGGTTTGGGGCACCATCCTCAGCCTAGATGGTGATATCTGCCATCCTAAATCTTTTTCTCACGCCAGAATCAGGGTAGCTACTGCATCCATGGAATATATAAACACAACTATTTTCTTGAAGTGTAAGGGCATTTCTTATTACATTCTTGTATGCGAAGACCATCTAGCAGATTCTAGTGGGATGAAGTCATCAAGAATGGTAGACTTCGACTTCACAGAAGCCAGTAACAGTGAGGAGGTTAGCAACACTCCAGAGGCAGCTGCAAGGGTCAAAAATGATGGTGATGAGGTGGCACAATTGAGTGTTTTGCTCGGAACTGATCTGGTTTGCACTAACGGGATTAAACAAAGGATAGAGTCTAGTTGCAGTCTCATAGGGGAGGGAATAGGAACTGTGGTTGAAGAGACTCTCTATGTTGGAGGCTCCATTAGGTCAGAGGGAGCAAGCGTTGAGGGGACTTTGATGGAAGGATCAGTCCAAAATTCAAAAAATAATGATGGCAGGTTGAAGTGTGTTCAGCAAGCTCCTTCAGGTAAATCTATAGACGGATGTGGCCCGGGTATTAAGTTGGATGTCATTTTAGCCAACGAACCTATTGGAGACCTTGGGCCTGGCATTGGGCCTGGTATCAATTTGGAGGTTAATTTGGCCCATGTACCAAACCAGTCCCTATCCAGTGATATGGCCCTTTTGCAATCTGCTGGGCGACCAAAAAAGTTGGGGCCAAATGGAGTAAGCTTAGTAAGCCTCAATCGAAACGCCTAGGGTAAATCTATTATTCCTTATACAGAACCACTGCAAACTGAGAGGAAAAAAGGGAAGAAGAAGGTTCACATAGAGGGATTTAACAGCTTTGCTAGATTCCATGGCTTCAGAACTGCAGCAGCTCTCAAGAATTCTTCCAAATCTGTTATCTTTAGACCGACAGCTTCTACCTTTGCTCAGTCTGATTTATCTGAAAGTGGATCATCTTCTAACAATTATCTTCTGGAAGAAGCCGAAGCTACAATACAATTGGGGAAATCACTGGGTGTTAACTTCAACAGTGAGGAGGATGTGGTTTTAAACAAGATAATCAATCTTGAGATGAAGGATAAAGCCAGAATCACCAAGGAGGGGACGACTCAGAAATAAGACACTGCAGATGGGTGACTTAAGTGTATTATTATGTTTAATTATGAAGCTTCTATCTTGGAATATTAGGGGTCTGGGTAAACCTGAGAAGAAAGGCAGAATCAAAAGTCTTATAAAAGACTAGCATGCTGATATTGTTTTCCACCAAGAGACCAAGAAAGCTGTAACTTCTGATAATGTTGTTAGAAGGCTCTGGGGATGCAAAAATATGGAATATATGTCTGTGGATCCTGAAGACTCTGCTGGTGGGCTTCTTTGTATCTGGGACCCTACTGTCTTTCAACTCTTTGGTTGCTGTTGTAATAGGAGGTACATCTTGCTTTCTGGTTCCCTGTACAACTCTTTTGAGTGTGTCTTGATTAACATATATGCACCAAATGATATCTGTGCTAGATCATCTCTTTGGGCTGATATCCTCAAGCTCAAAGACCATTTCCCTGCTCCTTGGTGTATGGGTGGGGACTTTAATGAAATAAGGCATATAGGAGAAAGGGTAGGCTGCTCCAGAAGGGATAGAGAGATGCATAATCTTAATGAGTTTATTGAAAAATGCGAGCTCAATGATTTACCTCTTCATGGAAGAAAATATACTTGGTGTAATGCTCAGGAATCAGAGAAATGGAGTTGTATAGATAGAATTTTGCTTGGACCTAAGTGGCTGATTAATTTCAGAATGAAACTATGGGGACTGCCTAGATTAATTTCAGACCACTGTCCACTATTGATGATTGAAGATGAAAGAGATTGGGGACCCAGACCTTTCAGGTTTCTAAATTCCTGGACTCTTCATCCAAGCTTTTCTAAATTTTTTGTTGCTATCTGGAGCAGCTCTTTGGTCACTGGATGGGCTGGCTACATACTTGTTCAAAAATAAAAGCATCTGAAACTAGCACTGAAGAAATGGAATGTTGAGGTATTTGGTAATGTCTCATATGAACTTAAAGTTTCTGAAGAGGAACTTCATGCAATTGATATTTTGGCAGAAGAAAGACCTCTGGCTCAAGCTGAATTGGCAAGAAGAAGAGTGGTCAGAGGTGAGATGTGGAAGCTTCATAGGATGGTGGAGTGGATTTGGCACCAAAAATCCAGATTGAACTGGACTCTCAATGGGGATAAGAATACTAGGTTTTTCCATGTTTTTGCCAATGCTAGACAGAGCAGGAACATGATTAACTCTATCGAAGTTAATGGAGTATCTTATGAGGATCCTCACAGGGTTAAGTTTGAGGTCAATCAACAGTTCAAGAAACAGTTTACAGAGGAATGGGTTACAAGACCTATCTTGGAAGGGGTTTTCAAGACCATTGGGCCAGACTATGTATCTCAACACCTTGTCTCAGAGTTCAGTGAAGTTGAGGTTCTGGCTGCAATTAAGGATTGCAATAGCAACAAAGCTCCAGGCCCTGATGGTTTTAACTTGTTGTGTTATCAGAAATTTTGGAAGGTCATGAAGCCTGAGATTATGCAATTTTTTGTGGATTTCCATTCAAATAGCAAACTGACCAATGGCATCAACAGCACTTTTATTAGTCCGATTCCCAAAGTGGACAATCCCACTGGCCTGTCTGAATATAGACCCATCAGCCTTGTAAGCTCCCTTTACAAAATTCTAGCTAAAGTACTAACACATAGATTGAAGCCAGTTCTTCCCTCCATCATTGGTGAAACACAAACTGCATTCATAGGTGGGAGGAACATCCTAGATGGGGTTTTCATTGCCAATGAAGTGGTGGATGGATGGAAAAAGTCCAAGAAGCCCGGTCTAATTTTAAAGCTAGACTTCGAAAAAGCTTTTGATTCTGTGAACTGGGAATTTTTATTTTCTCTTCTGTCCAATTTTGGGTTTGGGAACAAATGGATTTCCTGGATAAAAACTTGTATTACCTCAGTTAGGATCTCCATTCTTGTGAACGGTTCACCAACTATTGAATTCTCACCACGAAGAGGTCTTAGACAGGGCGACCCGCTCTCACCTTTTCTGTTCAATATTGTTTCTGAAGGTCTTAACATGCTTTTGAACAGAGCAACTAATCTTGGCATACTCGGAGGAGTGCTTGTTGGGTCAAAGGATGTTCTTTTGTCTCATTTGCAATTTGCGGATGACTCAATTATTTTCTCTTAAGCAGATTGGGATCAGATGGTGCTTATTAAAAGAGTTCTAAGATGCTTCGATGTTTTATCTGGTTTGCGAATAAATTATCACAAAAGTGTGGTATGTGGTGTCAGTGTAGATGATTCACTCTTGCTCTCCTTTGCAAAGCTCCTCAACTGTCAAGTTCACAGCCTACCCCTAAAATTTCTGGGTCTACCTCTTGGAGCCAACCCTGGGAGAAAATCTACATGGAAACCTATGCTTGACAAATTCAAATCCAAACTCTCAGGGTGGAAGTGAAAACTGCTGTCTTTTGTAGGTAGGTTAACACTAGTCAAGTCCACCTTATCTGATGCCAGAAGGTGTGGCCAAAGAAATTGAGAGGATTCAATCAGTTTTTTTATGGGGTGGTAACGACCTGAAAAGGAAAGTCCACTTAGTGAAATGGGGGGAGGCTGCAAAAAGCATTAATCAAGGGGGCTTGGGCATTAGAAGAATAAGAGATGTAAATGCATGTCTATTGCTTAAATGGTGGTGGAAATTTGGAACTCAAATTAATTCTCTTTGGAGGAGGGCTAGATGTAGCAAATACAAGATAGATGAGGCTTGTTGGAATCCACCGGTAAGTTTCTTCTACAAACATTCTAGAGTGTGGAAAGACATCTTATCTATTGGGAACCATTGCAGTAATATTTTCAATTTTTATGCGGATAATTGTCAAATTAAAGTGGGGGATGGAAACAGAATCAAGTTTTGGCATGACAAATGGTGTGGCAACACTTGCCTTAAGAATGATTTTCCCCTCATTTTCAATCTCTCAACTGATAAAGATGGTTCTCTTCATCAATACTTTGATAGGAAAACCAACCCAAATACTTGGAATTTTCCCATTAGAAGAATGATGTTTTCTTGGGAATTGGAGGAAGAAACTAGTTTGATTGAAGCCCTATCGTCAGCCCCTTCTCTGTCTCTACACAAAGCTGACTATTTTTTCTGGGCTTGTGCTACTGCAAGCACTGGTGAGTTTTCTGTTTCCTCAATTTACTCTTTCAGTAATTCCACCTTTGGCCCTCATCTTCCAATTTGTAATCATATCTGGAATAGAGCTGTCCCTCCTAAGGTTTCATTCTTCTGTTGGTTGGCTTGGAAGAACAAAATTAAGTGAGCAGAATTTATGCTCAGAATTGGTATTTTAGACCCATCTGTTTCCATCAGTTGCACCTTCTGTGGCTTCGAATCTGAATCAGCCACACATGTCTTGCTTCACTACCCCTTTTCGTGGAAGATCTGGTCTACAATTATTCATGAATGGGGGCTTTCTTGGTGCATTCAAGATTCAGTTGATGGCCTTCTCCAATGGTGGATGACAGTAAACTTCAATCACTTTGATAGATTAATTTGGAGAGCTATCCCGCTCGTTGTTCTTTGGTCGCTGTGGAAGTGTAGGAACGAATGTATTTTCGAAGAGGCTCAACCAAATATTTCAGATTTGAGTGAAACTATTAAAGTCAAAGTTGCACTATGGCTGAAAGCAACCATCAATGACCTTCCTTTCTCAGTTGATGATTTAGCCTTCAACTGGAGGCAAATCAGAGCTGGGAATTCAAATCTTTAGATGGGCTGGCTTTGCCAGAGCTTCTTTGGGCCATGTTTTGCCAGAGCTTCTTTTTTGTTGGGTTGGAGTTTGATCTGCAGGTTATCAGTTGGGTTTGTTTATCTGCTGGTGTTATCAGTTGGGGTTGCTAATCT